GGCATATGTTAACTCGAAGAAAACAACGAACTCAGAAAAAATTCTGAGAAGTATATTCGTCAGCAGTGAACCGGTGTGCTTCGCCTTCATATTTACCTAGAAACCTGAAAATGGCAAGAAAGGTGGGTTCCTGATGAATAACAAAACACTAGGTCAAAACATGCATAAGCAGAACAAACCTATTTATCTCCAGTGAGTGATAACCTCGACTGCGCCATGATGTAGTGCTCATTCAAAATTCATCAAAACATTTGAGCCGTTATGCACAAACAATACCATGGATGCTGTTCAGATTTCAGCTCATTTATTTATAAAGTAGCGTCGATATTTTTTATGTATAGTGTAGCAATAAGGCTTAACTCCTGATTTTCCTTGAGTATGAGCATCAAAGATCATAGATATACGATATATAGTTAAATAAGCTTTTCAAAAGCTAGGAAACGCAGGATTTCCAGATGCAATGGATGCAATCACGAATGAGCTCACCATGTTTGCTTTTCTATTTACCGGGTCAGGTCCTCCTGCACAGTTTGATCCAAAAAGGATTAGAGCGAATTTCACACCGATTTTCAGGGATCAAGAATACTCGAGTCCGTATCAAACTTCCTGCGAAAGGTCTTCTCCATTTGACGATAAGGATCGCGATGCCCTGATTCCATCGAAGTGTGGAAGAGGTATAAAATTGTGCGCCTGTGAAAAATCAAATGGAATGGTTAAATCTCCAAGCGGCACCCTTATGGTCCCCCTCAATTTTGGACGGGTTCTCTACGGCTGATGGTTTTCGGTGAGTGGCCGTTTCAACAATTTGTCACTGTGGTCAAACTATTGATAATCATTCCGGTGCTAACTTAGTTGGGGGGGGGGCCACGCGGCGGCGCGGCAGTCTGCTCGCCTGGCATGTTCGGAAATCCGTGGGCCAGGGGGAGTGTAGGCAGTCTAGGGGGTGGGGGGTGAGGGCAGTCACTTGACATGCGTGAAAAGCTGGAATGTTCGAGTTTACACTGTCTCGCTCGAGAGAGCCCAGGTGAGCAGACTGCCGCGCCGCCGCGTGGTCCCCCCAACCCACTTAGCGCCGTTATCCCTTCTGTTGTTTATAATATTATGTACTCGCACTGCACAGAAGAATCATCCATGAGCGGAGGCGTATGCTG